GAACCTCTGTGCATTGCAGCACCCCGTGCACCAGGAACGCAGGCCATTTGAATCGGAGGAGCGCCAGGAACCAGGATCCCAGAACTGAGAGCCAAGGAGTCCCGCCGAACACCGAATTCGGCGGTGCAATGTCACAAAGTCCTTCCAACATCCGCGAGGATTTTTTCAGTGCAGTCAGTGCTTGCGGGGAAGGAAGGACGAGGAGGACAAGGAGGCGGACGATCAGAAAAGGAAGGGGTGTGTGGAGGAGTTTCAGGAGCAGGCGTGAAGGAGTTAACTAAGGAGTAGAGGTTATGACCTCTGCAGGTCCTGGAAATAACCACCTCCAGAAGCAAGCCGCTCTCTATGACATTTGAGTGCTCGTCTGGGCCTCGGGGCCTCATGGATCCTTCAGGATTTCCTTGGGTCCTTTTGGGGGCCCTCTCGGGCACACCTAGCCCACCGCTCCGCGACCACATGCGAAACTGCGCAACGTAGAAAGGCCCCGCGCAAAGAAGGCGAGAGGGAGAAGGTGGGGCGTCGGAGAACAGGGAGGATGGCTGCCCCAGTTTTGACAGAGGCTCTGGTGCGTTGTCAGAACGCCGAGGCTGCGCGCACGCTCAGCGGAGCGGGGAGCCAGTGTACAGCTCTCCTCGACGCGCGTGGTCCTAGTCACTTGGGTGCAATCCAGGGGTCCTCTTGGGGCCTTGGTGGGCACTCTTGGGATTCTCTTGGGGTCCTCTTGGGTCGTTCTAGTAGCTTGCTTGGGCCCTGGAATCCTGACTGGCCTTCCATGGGACCCTCTTTGGACTTGCGTACGGTTTGTTTTGTATTTTCTGTGGTCGATTAATCAGAGCGTGAATTACCTACCCCGCTTTCGCTTCCAGGCAAAACCAAGTCATACCACGCGCCTCCTCGTCAAGCGGCCTGACCAGTACAGGCGTCAGTTTGGCATCGCTTGGTATCTCTTGGAAGTGAGGGTAGGTTTGTTCGTCCCCTAATTAAGGCTCTTTGGTGGCCTCTAGGAGCCCTGCGGGAGGTTGGTCCTCTCGGGGCTCCATCGAGGCCCTTGCAGGGCCAGCTGCCGCCCCGGTGGGCTTCTCGTGCGCTCCTGTTAGGCTCCTTTGAAATCCTTGCGGTTACGGAGTGCCGCAAAAGTGTCGGGGGTGGACAGAACCCCCAACAGTGACACGTCGATTAGTGAATTGTCCGTTTTCGGTTCTCGAGAGGGCGCCGTGGCCGTTATTTTCCAGGCTTGCGCCCGCCAGGTTTGGGCCTCAGGTCGTTGTCACTAAACCACGTTTTACTAAAGGGGGGTCTGTCCATCCCGAAAGTGACATCAGCGTCGGCGGTGGTTGCATGTACACCGGCGTTCCGGAAGGTTCGTGACGACGCGAGGTGCAATCATCTTGCACTGGCAGCGTAGACATCCCGCCCAGTGGGATTCCAAGACGCGTTTGTTTCAGCCCGCTGGGATCTTAGAAGGGAAGCTGGGGCCAGCTCGGCGTGGTCGGAAAGCTTGTCGGCCTCCGCCCTCCCGCTCACGCTGAAGTCGTGGACGAGGCTCCTCGTTCATAGACTGGGAACCCAGCCCTGGCGACCCCGGGGCCCCAGCACACCAGCGGCACCCAGACAACACCAAGTGCCCCCTCCGCCCTGGGATCGGAGCCTCCCCCGGACTCTTCCGGCTCCCCCCGGAGGCCTCTGGAGCTGCAGTTCGGCCTGTGGACGGCCCCAGATGGGACTTTCTCCTCCTCATCCTCCTCCTCCTCCTCCTCCTCCTCCTCCTTCCGCATCCGTTTTGGCTCGAGCCTCTCCCAGGGCGCAGGCGGGGGCGCCGCCGAGATGGACTTCGGCGGCGATGGGACGGGCCGTGTCGCCGATGTGTCAGTGGCTGTCGGAGCGGCCGCGGAAGGTCGTGTATGCGGCCTGCGCGACGGCCGTCTGCTTCTCCCTCGGCGCTACATTGCTGCTCCTGCGCCCCGCGCCAGCGCAGGAGGTAGCTGCTAGAGTGGCGCCGAGAGCGAAGAAGCCGAGCGCGAAAGCAGGACTCAGCCACGCGCAGAGGGGATTCAGCTGGGGAGGATTTAGCCACGCGCAGATCAGGGTATGGGGGAGGGGGGAAGGCTTCTTAGAAGCACCCCTGCTTCTTAGAAGGCGCGGGCCTTACATCTATAGATGTAAGGCCGGCGCCTTTTAAGAAGCAGCCTCTTTCTAATAAGCCTTTCCCCCTACCCCTACCCCCCTGTGCGCGCCGCCAAAGGACAAAACCAATTCTACGTCGTGCGCAATGGAAGATACCACTACGCGGTATGCAACGGGTTCACCAACCAGGTGCTCTGCCACGCAGGTCACATCGCCGCAGCGATGAGTATGAACTTGTCGGTCGTCATACCGGACGCCTTCATCACGGACGGCACCCAGAGCATTCCTGACGGGTCCGTTCTCAAGAACACGTTGCCCACGCCCTGGAATTCCGTACCGTTGGGCCTCATTTTTGACACCGAGGCGCTGCTGGAGCAAGTCCAGAAACTTGGGGGCAGCGCTACAATGGGTAGCTACAATGAGGTAAATGTACCCGTCTGCTCGTTCCTGGACGTGCTGAAGATTGCGCGTCACGAGGATGTCGTAAAGGTGCTGAAGGCGCTGGTGCCCTCGGCGCGAATGGCCGAGCTTGTGGACAGGATACAGCCGCTGATCGCCAAGCGCCTGTCAGTGGTCGCGCCCGACGACCGGCGGGCAAAGTCGCAGGGCGAGGGCATCTGCTTCCACCACAGGGACGGCGAGGACTGGCACAGGCACTGCGACCAGTGGGAGAGGCTCAGCCCGCACAACGGGAACTGCCGCAGCCGGAGGCCCATCTCGGAGCTGCTGGAGTACCGCTCGTCGCACCTCCGCAACAAGGGGAGGTGGGTCTTCTACGCTGGCGACCATGCGGTGCCAGCCGAGCTTCAGCTGGGGAGGATTCAACCACGCGCAGATGAGGGTAGGGGGAGGGGGGAAGGCTTCTCCGAAGCGCCCCCGATTCTTAGAAGCCTTCCCCCCTCCCCTTACCCCCCTGTGCGCGCCGCCAAAGGATTCCCGTGGTGACCCGTGAGGAGGTGTTCCCCTCCGCGGAGAACGACATCCCTGCCCACTTCGGGGGCCAGCCCGGCAGCCGGCTGCACAGGGACTTGGGTGCGGCGTTGGATTTTTTCCTGTGTTCCAGGCTTGTGAAAGACGATCAATGGAGATGAGGCATGCTGTCAAATAATTTCCAGATGTCTATACATTGTTTAAAACATGTTAGAAAATGCGAACACACATGTTTGAAGCATGTTCTGTACAGTTTCAAACATAAGCGTATTTTCAATTTAATGATTGGGCTGGTAGAGTGTCCATTGTCCTGGCATCCACAATTCCAGGCTGCCCCACTTCGTGGGCAACTCGGTGTCCACGTGGAGTGCCGCGCAGATCCTTGCCAGGGACTCGCTGGCCTCGTGGTACAACTCGCGCTTTATCCCGCTGGCGGACTTCATCAAGGGCTACGTGGTCCCAGTCGTGTACACCTACACTGAGAAGTCCTCCAGCATGGGGAAGCTGATGTTGCAGATCACCCTGCTGACCACGCTGAGATACATGCGGGCCTCTGCCGTGCACGTCCTATACCATGGCAGCGAGGACACTGACTTCCTGTCCTGGCTGGCGTTGCATGGCATCACCGTCCACGACCACCAGCCGGTATGGCTGCCCGCGGCCGAGCGGCTGCGCGAGGCGGGGCTGCAGGGTGGGGCGTTCCAGCGGCACCGGTTCCTCAGCGAGGGGAACTACATCGGGACCTGGCAGCGAGTGGACGCCCCGCTGCACATTTCCGCCGAATATTGTTTCCTTCTGGACTCAGACGCGTACGTATTCCGGCAACCGACCTTCCACGACCTGGGACCGGACGTGACAGCCACTCTGGCGTTGGCGGCCGACATGAACGAGAATTCACGAGACCCGGGGGACGCTGGTGTCGTGCTGATGAATATTCCATTCATGAGAGAAACCCTGTCAGACTTTCGCCGATTTATTTTCAGCCGCACGACACCGAAATTCACAAGTGGCCAGGCCCACCATGGAGCATATTTGGATTTTTACGGATCGAACATAACATATTTGGATCCCAAGTTCAATTTCAAGACGACCTACCAGAACATAGACACTTGGAAGAAGGCCTTCATCGTCCATTTTCACGGCCTGAAGCCGCACGACCATTTGAGATTCTGGTTTACGGGAACGTGTGATCCCGCTAAGTGTTTTCTGTTGTTCCAGTTTGCCCACAACGTTCCTTTCCTGTGCGGCACGATTCAGGCCTGGGCACGCGGGGCGATGCGCAGTGAGCCCGGGCTGGTCAAGGCGTACTGCGAGGAGGCCACTCCCGGTCAAGTTGCTTTGTGTGTGGACTGGTTCAAGAACATCACCGGCACTAAGGGCATGGCGAGGAGTTGCAAGAAGAAGCTGAAGCAGGTGATCGCCTCCCACGGGCTCAGGACTCAGGAGGGGAAGAACCATACAGACACGATCGACCGTCGGCTCCCAGGAAATATATGGGCAGGTGTGAGAAGTGGGGGGGACGACGAGAGTCCAGAAGGGATGGACAACTACAGGGGGGGTACATGACCCCACAAATTGAAGCACAAAAAACGAACTATTCGGAACCCCAGGATTACGACGAAACTACGACGAAACTACGACGAAATACGACGAAATACGACGAAAATGCGACGAGCATGCGACGAAACTACGACGAAACTACGACGAAATACGACGATATACGACGAAAATACGACTATAACTACGATGTGTGCCCCGTGGCCCCGCCAAGGACGTCCGACTTCTCGGGGGCGTTTGCCCGCTGACCGGCGGGGAGCAAGGGGCGGGACGCGCGCCCGCTCCGCCCGCGCTCTCGTGCGGAGGCGCGCGGGAGCCGAGTCGCCTCGACGCCGCCCCCGCCCCCCCCGTGCGCCGGGGAGGCCCTCCGCGTGGGAGAGCGGAGAGCCTTCCTCCTCCTCCTCCTCGCCCTCTTCCTCCTCCTCCTCCTCCTCCTCCTGCTCTTCCTCCTCCTCCTCCTCCTCCTCCTCCTCCTCGTCTTCCTCCTCCTCCTCCTCTTCCTCCTCGTCTTCCTCCTCCTCCTCCTCCTCCTCCTCCTCCTCCTCCTCCTCCCCCTCTTCCTTCTTAAGGTCTTTCTCCCTCTCCTGCCCTTCCTCCTCCTCCTCCTCCTCCTAATCCTCCTCCTCCTCCTTCCCCTTTTTCTCCTCCTCCTCCTCCTCCTCCTCCAAGTGGCATTCCCAGGTCTCAGAAGACTGCTGGCCACTTCAGAATTCAGGACATGTGTGCGGAACCCCCAGTCTGCTCGCCATGGCGGCGGACTCAGCGGCGCGTCTTGGGCAGGTCAGTTTCGTCGCCTACAACCCCCACAGCGCCACCCACTCCCGCATTCAGGACATCCTGGATGAACTCCACAACGTGTCCGTGGTTTCGCTGATAGGAACGCAGGAAAAGCAGTTGAATTCCAAGGACCTCAGGTATTGCTCGTCGTTTTGGGGCTTCTCGGAGGGCTGGAGTTCAGGAGCTTTGACGAACAGATCTTGTGGGCTCAGTGTCTGGTTTAACAGGAAGATGTTTAGACCCAATCACCTTCGGGGAGTGGCGCCTGTTCCGAAAGGTCTCCAAGGACGGGTCCTGGGATGTAAGCTGGAGAGGCAGTCGGTTCGGTTCGCTGTTTTCGCCCTCTACTTCCCGCCGTGCACCAGGGACAAAGATCAGCTTCTCAAGTACACGAATTGTTGTGAAAGAATGATACGCTGGCTGACTCAGCAGCTGGACGCCCTGGCGGGCAGGTGGATTCCCATCCTCACCATGGACTTCAACTCCACGTTTTGTGAGGAGCTAGAAGGTGTTGTTGGTCCGTATGGCCTCGGCTCAGACGAGAAGCGAACAGCCCAGATACTGAAGCCTGTGCTCGAGTCTTATGGACTATGCCTTGCCAACACGATGGCAGATGCGGGCTACACCTTCGTCGCCTCCTGCGGCACCCGCAAGACGCTGGACTACATAGCACTGCCGCAAGGACTACTTCCAGCGATGAGATGGTGTACCACCTTTCGGCGCAGCATGCGCAGGCTTCAGCCGCATCGATGGGGACGAGAATGGGATCATCTACCGCTGGGGTTAGGGCTTGAGTGGGTGACGGACATGACTCCCACAGATGGGCGCCAATCTGAGCGCATAGAGCCTACGGCTGCCCACGCCCTTCTCCAGCGGGGATACAGACGGAGAGAGTTCATGGAATCCGTGACGGCAACGATCGAGCAGAAGGCGGCCTGGCTCAACTCCCAGACGGGATATACACTCGCGGTGGAGGCCAACGACTTATTGGTCCAGGCCATCACCAACGCTGCGCTCACCACCTGCACACGGAAGGAGGGATACACAGAGCACCATGCCGACTACGCCAGAGAGCTCAAAGCCCTGCTTCAACAGAGGAGGCAAGTGCGCGATCGACTGGCATGGGCTTACCAAAAGGAAGACGATGACCTTCAGCTGCAGCTTACAGTGCGTATCACGACTATCAGCAAGTGGCTTAGACAGCACAAGAGGTGTCATTGGCAGCGGGTACAGCAATATCGAGTAGCAGCGTTCGGGGAGGCCCGCAAGGCCAAGGACTTCCATGAGGTGCACAGGTTGGCTCGTCTCATAGCTGCGCGAGGGAGAGGACCAAGACGGCGTAACTACAGACAGCTCAACACCAGCGGAACGACACAGGAGTGGACTACCAGGATGCAACAACCTGGGGCGGAGGGTGGGGCTGCAGCACGACTTGTCAGCTTCAATGACATGAACAATCTGCTACACGAGTTGCCCGAAGCCTACGCATCGGTCACGGATGAGGAGGTCAAAGAGGACATCGACGCTTTCAAGAATCAGGTGTGGCGTCTCAGGCTTTGGCGCGTCGCACCTCGGGACAGCATCATCGCGGAGCTCCTCCGCACGGCCATGTTCCCCAACTGGATCAACAAGCGCAGAGCGACCCACCACCACGGCGTCGGTTACGAGCAGCAGGAGCGCATTTCGGCCAACTCTGTTTACTTCCTGCTCGCCTGCCTGTTCACAGGTATCCGCACCAGTGGCAAGCTCCCTCTGTCCTGGATCCTGTCCGACGCCTGCAAGATTGGCAAGGGCAACAACAAGGAGGGCGTGGATGGCGAACGACTTATCATGCCCGTGTGTACCATCGCCAAGACGTACTACCGCAGCCTCCTAGCCCGAGGAGCACCACCTGCCCTTGAACCATGGATCTACGGCTGCCTCAGAGGGCGACGGAGGGGGGCTGCAGTGGTGGTGCAGCAGGCGTATTCTTGGCGCAAGCTTCAGGCGGGGCAGTCCCACGTTAAGAGGTTGCACGACGCCACCAACGCTTTTTACAGTATAGACCACGACAGTTTATGTCACGAAGTGGAACGAGTTTTTCGAGAGGAAGATTGGCACATCATGAAATTTCGAGTCACTCTTGCATGTTTCGGCTACCAGGTGCTGACAACGAGGTTCTTTGGTTGCAGCAGGGATGCATGCCTGGAGATCCAGCCATGGTCCGACTTTTCGTAGGTGCTTATGCCAGACAAATGAGAATGGGCACGATTAATCTTTATAATTACCGAGCTGCCAGTTTTAAGTGCCCATGGTCGGCTCAGTGGATTCAGGCTTCTTTTACTGTGTATGTGGACGGCGTAGCCGACAATTTTGATGTCAATAATAACGCAGCTAGTGTCATGGCGGAAGGAGACTCTCAGAACGATGCCATCACTGAGAGGCTCGCCGAGATTCAGATGATTCAGAATGTAAGCAAGCAGGAGAATTTAGTTTTTTTTTCACAGGCACCAACGCAGCTTTCGTGGAAGCGAAGTTCCTCAGAGATCAGGAGCTTGCTGGGCGTACGACAGTGTGTGCACGCTATTTGGGCCCGCGCATCCATTCGAGGTTTGCATTGTGTGAGGTAGAGTACAGACTACATGCTGGGCGCACAGCCTGGTATAATCTCTCTAAGTTTTGGCAGAGTGCAGTGTCTCTTGGTTGGAAGATCAACATGCTCAAAGGGTATGTGGCCAATGCGTGTTACAGTGGAGCGGAGGTCCTGTGTGCTCGAGCGGGCCCCATGCGTCCGCACGATTGGCAACCCATTCTTCGATTTCTTGCTATGCGTGCACGGATCCTGCTGCGAGGTACAGCTCAGTGGCAGGAGGACGGCTCCGTGCGCACCCTCACCAACCTACAGGCCCTTGCAAAAGTGCGCCTCGTGGCCCCACATGTGGAGATGAGAGTTCGAAGGCTCCGACGGCTCCAAGCTTGTCTACGAGAGGCCCCACGGTGTGCTCAATTTCTTGCGGTCGTTTTCGGGCGCTCTCGGGGCGAGGATTTGACCGAGCTCGAAAAGTATCGGAGCAACGACGCGAATGCGAACCCGTGGTGCGAACAGTTCTGCGAAGACATACGAGCGATCGAACTCTTCGATGACGGGGCGAGGCTGATGGAGATCTATGGGTTGGAGGGAATTCTATTCGAGGGGAGGGGGGAGTTCGTTCAGCTGGACGTGGGAAGAATCGCATCGCACTATTTCCTCAACATCGCACAGCACGAGAGGAGGCAGGAGGAGATCGAGAGTGGGGGACCCCATCAATGCAAGGCCCTTCGAGCCGATGGAGAGCCCTGTGCAGAACGCTTCATGACAAAAAAGCAGTTGGCGGTCCATTATCTGAGAACCAAGGGAGGCACCCACGGAAAGCAACTTCTAGGGAGACTCTGCTGTGTATCCAGTCAGTGCGTGATCTGTGGCTCGAATTTCTCTTCGATTGACTATGCAAAAAGACACATGCACAAGAGCCTCAGCACGGGCCTATGCTGTGTATACAGAGGGCGCACGGACGGACAGATCATCCAGCCCTCGTCCTACGCGCGCCCAGCTTGCGATGATTTCGAAGGGGCCGACAACGACGAGCTCCGTAGGCACATTTTGTCCGAGCATCTGCAGGGGCACCTGGAGGATCATTGTTTGGATTTCGAGCTGCCTGGTCTGTTGGAAGATCTCGAGCAGCTCCATGGAGGTCCAGTGGCTCATGCCGAGCGCGCTCAAGCGGGTCGCTGCGGAGGCCAACGCAGAGGGCGACAGCAACAAGGCGCGCAAGGGCTCGGGCAAGGGCGTCGAGGACTCCCACGTGAACGCTCGCCTGCTTCGACAGCTGGAATCGAGGGTGCGCGCGCTGGAGTTCGGATCGGGCCTGGTAGTGTACGGACCGAGCGACGACCAGCATGTGGACACGCTGAAGCAGACCTACCAGGAGTACCAGAAGAAGGTCGAGGGCAAGAACAACACGCACGGGCTCGGTCCGCCCGAATTGCAGAATTTTGCCGCACTTCTCAGCGCTTTCAACAGCTGGCTCGACAAGCCAGGCAAGGCCCAGGACTCAGTGAAGGAGTTGGCAGATATCCCTCGCAGGCTTCTCTTGATGATGATGAAAGGAGATCAGGAGCAGGCCAGCACGTGGATCAAGGAGTGCGGAACCAGCTCGACGGCAGACAGCAGCATCTCGAGGATTACGGTCAAGGTCCTGGGCTTTATCACGCTGCCAGACCCCAACCAGGCAGGGCCCAACGCTTACGATGAGCAGGAGAGTCTGTGGAAGGTTCTAGAGGACAAGGACGTGGAGGAGGGAGAAAAGCGCAGGGCAGAGGTTCGAGTCATTCGCAGTCCGCTCGAGATCGCCCAGCTAGGACACGGGAAAGTGATCGCAGTAGAGCAGGCTCTGTATCGAATCTTCCGAGCAGCAGGCTTTAACAACAAAGCTGGCCGAGCCCCCAGGGGTAAGCTCGTGCGTCAGGTGAAGCTAGGATAGAGCGTGTTAAGTAGTAGACGGGTTAGGGGGACTGCCTTTGTGCTGCGGTAGGGTGGGGTCGCGTGCGCGCCCACGCTGCCGTGGTCGACGGTAGACCTGGTTAGCCCAATGTA